GTACAAGGAACGCCGTCAACAAGTCAGCTAGGAACACCACCCGTACGGAGAATGTATGATTAAATATAAGTTTATGACTGAGACTATTGGAAAAATTTTCTTGTTTGTTTATTTTTATGTGAGTCATGTAAATGGAACCATTGCGCTAGGTGAGGTCCCTTGACCATGGTCCTCTGTTTTCTCTTTTTGGGTGTGCGTCGTGGCATTTCCTACCCTGTCTCAAAATGCTTCAAGATGGCACCCAGTGTCTGCTGGCCGCTGCATGCCTGCATGCTTTGACTGAGGAGGCGAGTGGCTCCAGCCTTCACGTTGCCAGCGAGGAGCAGATGGGATCATTGCTCGCTAGCATCGCGCGGCACTTCGTCTGGCGGCTCTGCGTCACGCAGCGTGGAGCAGCGCCAGAGCGAAGGACGGGGGATGTTGCGATGAGGAGGCTCAATGCCTGATGGGCTCTTCTCTATTGGGCCATTGGCATTTGTTCCAGCCCCGACATAGACATATAAGATGTGTGCAACAATCAAGACGACCACCGACACTCGCGCGATCAACGCTGACTTCAATCAAGGGAGCCCCGCCTTAGTCCTTGTCGGCCCTAGCCAGCCGCCATCGGGGACGCCGAGCCTCGCCCACCCTAGCCGCGACCACCCCCACCTCGAGTCATCGCTAGGTCGTACATCGCACCGAGAACTTCAAGTCCTTGCCGGTCGCCATGCGGTCAAAGAGTTGATGACTGACGGACGTCCTCCACGAAAAGGTATGGTCGCCTTCTCTCGCCTTTTCGCTTTGTGCAAAACGGTGCCCTGATTTAATCTAATCTATTTTTGTATCTGTATGCGACCTTTCCTACAACAAATCGCAAGTGGCAACAACAAAGCGATGATGATGTCAAAGAACCGGATTCCCATGAACCGTAAGGATCTGATCGATCCAAATCCGATGCGTAACTACACTCTACTTGTTAAAATTTTATATTTAATAATGATTTGTTCATATCTGGTGTACGAAAGAAAGTAAGATGAATATAGAGAGTGAGGCACAAATGGAAGCTCTCGGCCAAGAAATACGGAATGAAGATAATAACGAAATAATAATTCCGCATCCTCGGCCGCAGTGAGAAAAGAACCAAGACTTAAAACTTTTCACCCATCGCCTAATATCTCATGAACCTCAAAACATTTTTATATGTCAAAAAGCTAATTTAGAAGATGGATTATCGTCTAAATCTGAAATCCATGAGCCCATAGAACCTATGGACCGCTTCAGAGAAATGATAAGTATGTTCCAGGCGTAGAGGCCCACGTCACGGTGCTTATCGATCCACTTTGCACACTTGGTGAGTCAAGTTAGCACAACCACCTCATGCAATTTTTTAAAGAAAGGCATTTACATGTAAGCTATGGTACTTATCTCACAAATTTTTGCGGGACGTACACATACCAAAGCGGGCAATATTGATGTAGATGTTCAACACAATGATGATGCCGAAATAAAAGGGCATGAAGAAAGAGACGTAGCCAAGAAGCGGCGTGCTCATGAGGAAGATGACGTACATAACTATATCTTATACTTCTCAAATATTCCTTTCATAAATTGCCCGTGTGGGTTATTGCATACAAAATGTCTAGAGATTGCATCTCAAACTAATATTACATATTGCATATGCGAGATCATTATGGTAGATGCAACAAAGGAACAGGTCAAATATGATGATGTACGACTCTCCACGGCAAGAAAAGGACTTACATCCGATGCGTCTTTGATGCTGATGTGATAGTGTTACCGGAGTACAATAAACCAAAGAAAACAAACAATGCACAAATCATGCCTCAAGGTGAGACCTCAACAATTGGGACTTAATAGTACATATTTTGTGAATTAATTTTAATTACTTGATATATATATTATATAAATAAAACCTCTATAGATTATGTGTCTACGAAAGAAGACACAAGGGGTAATTGAATACATGCAAAGAAAAGTGAAAAACATGTACTCGCTTCGTCGAATCGATGATTGTTGGGGAGAGCGACAAGACATGGATTGTCTTTTTTATGGGAGTGAGCATGTCAATGGCTCTGTAAGGATGGTCAACACGTCTTCTGCATTAACTAATATCCATAACAAATATATATCCATAATTTAATGACAAATTAAAAACTTGCAGGTCATAAGTCTGTATATCTAGTTAATGCGGCACGAAGAACAAGGCCATCATAGAGAAGGTGGAAATGTATATTTAGAAAATTCATGGTTTTCTCAAATGCTATGAGGTAACGGAGAGCAAGATCTAAAAAAATTGACGTATAATAAATATGACATGGCTGAATCAAGGGTGAACACTTATTTAAAAGCTGATATGGTAAGCTTTACTATGACATTTGCCATATGATAAATTTTATCACTTCGAAATATGAAGAAATTATATACATAAATCTCTATGTCCGCATGTCTTCCTTCCTATCAATATTACAAAGTGCCACTGGTACCTGGCAGTTGTGTGTGCTTCAAAAGGTGAGATACAAGTATTGGATTCTTTTGGAGAAAAGATGACAAATTGGCAAGATCTCCGATATACGGTACAACATAATATATATGATGTACGCATATTTCTTTAAAAATCTTCAAATAAGAAGTTCATAATTAACCTTGGTGTCTCGCTCTTAATAGTTAATAGGAATGGAACGACTAATAAAACATGTAGCAGAGAAGATTCAACTCGACACAAGTAAATGGGTACACGGTATCGAAGTGTCATCCTGGAAACCTAAACATATGATCACTGAACAAATGCAAAAAGATGTGTAAGTTAACTTTCCATCTTGTGTATAGGCCATTCTCTCATAACGAACAATATCTATATACCTCACTTTTTTTGTATTATGCACAGATGTAGTTGTGGATTATGGATGATCAATTATATGGAGTATTGGATTTGAACTAATTTATCGACCATGTCACGCAGTAATTCCTTACGAATTAATTTCTAGTCAGTAATAAGTTTTTTTGTATGTATTGATTAATATATCATGACTTCATTATGTTTTCGAGGAAGATATAAGTAACTTTAGGTTTAAGCTACCAGTCATCATGTACAACTCCCCGTTAAATGAAGCAAGAGGATTACCAGATAACGAGCAACAGAATCAGACCCTAGTTCATCTAGTTGATGATGTCGTAGAGCTAAATGAAATGGATATTTTAATGTCGGGTAACGCCAAGTTGATAAGTACAATAAAGTGGACAAGCAAGGAAGAACTATTGTCGTGGATTTACCAAGTTGATAAGTACAATAAAGTGGACAAGCAAGGAAGAACTATTGTCGTGGATTTGCTCAACCATTCGGTGCAACGCGGATGATGGAACTTTAGAGTAAGTCTTTCTTCTTTCTGAATAGTTCAGAACATAATTGTTTGTGCATTAAGTAATTAGTTTCTTGTTCTTCTTTTTTTGCAGCAAAGAGTGGGTACGAAGTACACGACCATATCCAATTACTTTAAGTCTTAGGAAAATTATAAATATTTTATGTGAAGATACAGAGATGGAACATGAAAGCTTTAATATGGCTATTCGGATGGTTGCATGCAACAAAGAAATGATGCTGCATAAACAAAAATACCACTTCATGGATCTTAAATTTGCTGTAAGTTTTGAAATTCTATAATTCATCAAAAACTTGTAATATATGTGATTAAAAAATTATATACCGACAATTACAATCATCATCAGGAAATAACTGAGTTTGGAAGAGATTCACGATGTACTGGTGGCATTGATAAGGTATACTACAACAAATTGAAAAAGGTACTTGAGTGCTGGCCAGACATGCACTACAAATTCAAGATTGTAGCCAGGTACGTTATGGTCAGTGTACTACTTACTACTTTATAAGAATTTATTTATTTTATTTATGAACCACTTACAGTCTGTGTGTTTGTTTTTAGATTCTACTACCATATTATCAGAATGAACTATACATTTTATTGATACTGGACAATGAAAACAAAACTGTGCACATTATGGATCCGCTTGAACCGCTACCAGATAATGCATGTTTGAAGGGTTATCATCAAGAAATGGCATATATACCTACATTCCACACTAATGCTAGAATGTTCAATCTCACCATAGCACTATCAAATTCTAGGTTGACGAAAATATTTATTACTGGAAGCGAAAATACCCTAAATATGTAACAAAGGTTTCGGGTCATAAATACTGGTAAGTGTCGCAAAATTTGGTTCAACTTTTCTATAAAAAACAGTAATTTGATTTATATACATCAAATAAACAATTGATCTTCTCCGTCAAGAAATTGGGAGGCTTTCTTGTCTATAATTTTATGAAGTCGTGGGACGGCGTAAGATTATCACGGATCACCACTGTAAGCATATATAGTCTCCAACTATATTCCGTATACTACATACAATACTAACATATTATATTTTATACCATGCGCAGCTATCATCTACACTGAGGAAGGAATTCTTGGCTGACATTTTGACGAGTCCTACAAACGAATATTTCAACATCCCTGAAGATGTGCAACAAATGATAAAAGACTTATGCCAAATGTAACTTAGACTATAATATAATAATTAGATAAAGATTAAACTATGAAATAATAAATTAAATGTTTTTATGATTATTCTCTAGATAAAACCGTTACGTTACACGCATGGTACTGGCATATAGAAGGTCTCCGGCACGGACACGTGAGGGTGTCACGTGCGGCCGAATCCACCCAAACCTGATACAGTCACCAACATTCCGCCCCGGTCTCGGCATCCTGTTTCCCGCAACCGAAAAGAAAAGGCAACAGAAAAAAGATCACAGGAGAAACTGAAAAAAAAACTTCTTTTTTCTTTATTTTCTTCGCCCTCTTCGTCTCGACTCCGCCCACTGCGTCACCTCGAATCCCTTCGATCCAATCCCCAAACCCTAGGCGGTCCGCCATCAGAGTGTTGGGTGCTCCCCCTTCGTTAACCCGCGGCGGCGCGGCCATGGCCCACGGCGGCGGCGGCGGCGGCGGGAGGGCGAAGGTGACGCCGAACCTGGCGGTGGACGGCGAGGGCACGCGGACGCTCAACCTCACGGTGCTGCAGCGCCTCGACCCCGCCGTCGAGGACATCCTCATCACCGCGGCTCACGTCACGCTCTACGACTTCGACACCGACGTCAACCAGTGGGTGCGTGCCCCTGCGCGCCTGTCTGATTCGCCCTGACCCTGTGATTCGTGGGTGAAGAATTTGGCTGGTCGGACCTTATTTTTGTGCTCCGTGTTGTCTGTTTTATGCAGAGCCGGAAGGACGTGGAGGGGTCGCTATTCGTCGTCAAGAGGTCTGTCGCCTCTCTTTCTCAGAGGCCTCATTAGATGAGCTTGCATAGAAATTGAAACTTTATAGGTTGTCAATTTCTATCTACTATAAATCATAAACATATTGGTTGTTTGGTGATCATAGGAAACTAAATGCAGAATCTGATTATTGTGCTGGCTAAAATATGTTCAGTTGTGCTGTGAATTGCTTCTCTCTGTTTCCTAAATGCAGAGTAGGGCTTTTGTTCTTTCCCAGTTTAAAGCATTGTATTGTGCTAGTAATTTGTTTAGTTCTGCTCTGCAGCCTTCTGAGAGATACATACCTGGGTTTCTATATTTGTTTATTTCGGAGTTCAATAGATTACCATGTAGGGCTACTTTAAGATTTCTAAAATTGCCAAAAATGAATGGAAGCTCAGACAGGGAGAATTCACTTCTACAAGTGGAACAATTGCATATCCAAGTATTAGTCTATTGAATGTGCCTATGTTTCTATTTGTTTAGTCTTCCAGTTCTAGATATGTCTCTTATTCTGATGCTACCTAAAATGTTGTGGGCCTTAAAAGTGATCAAATTTTTGCAGTTCACGTTTTCTGGCCGTGTTTATACCATTTGCGTCTTTCCAACAAATAGTGTATATTTCTTGCAGGAATGCTCAACCCAGATTCCAGTTCATTGTCATGAATCGCAGGAATACAGGTACTTTATCATGCTTTCTTTTTTTGTGATTGTATAATCTGGTGACTAAATTCTCATTGTTGATTATGTGTAACCTTTGGGGCATACATGATGACCGGTATGAACCTGGCAGTCTGAAACTTTAAATAACATATTTGTGAACTCTATTTGTATGTGAATAATAGTTATCTCTGCTAATATCTCTTTGTTCCTGCCCATCAGAAAATAGTTTAGATTTTACACAATTTATCTCATGAAGTTCATAAACTTTCAGTTTTCAGGGGAAAACCAAACATATTTCTTTGCATCATTTGTTATTGATGTTGCTATCTCCTTCCCCTTTTGGTAATACTTCAAACCTAATAAAATTATATATGGTAATTGTCTCACTGAAATATAGTTCTCCAGCAGCATGTACTGGTTTTATTTTGTCAAATTAATGGATGATAAATTGACACTCTTGCATTTCACTCATTTTCACTTTGTCCATTGATACAAAGCCAAAAGACATTCACCTTCAGAATGATGTTAACATTTTTGTATTCCATAATGTTCTATACCACATTTATATTGTTGAAGTAAACATAGCTGCAGAGTAAGATGGGTTACTTTTTAAACTCGTTTGTGATTGTATGTTTATAGTTTTTATTATTCTTCTCAAATGAGATTGGCAGAAGCTTATTATGTAAAGTAGCCTGCTTGTATCTTCACATTGCCATTAATGTTTTCTTCATATTTCATTGGCATCCACTTGTTAACAGATAATCTAGTTGAAGATCTCTTGGGAGATTTTGAATACCAACTCCAAGCTCCTTATATAATGTACCACAATGCTGCTCAAGAAGTTATAGGAATTTGGTTTTACAACTCTCAGGAGTGTCAAGAAGTTGCAAATCTTTTCAGCAGGTATCAGTTGCGAACATGTAATCATCACTCCTGCTTTTGTCTTTAGGGCTCTTCTCCTTGTCATGAATTGCAATAAGCAAAGGCAACTTCATCAAGTTATTAAGGTTTTTCATTTTTCTGATGTGGTCATTGTTTATTGAGTGTTGTGTGTGTGGTGTTAACACTATGATATATATTAGTCCAGTCATGCCTTCCCCACCAATCTCAGTCATTGATGATATGAAAAAGTCTCAATTACTGAGCTTTCTAACTGCCTAATATTTATTATGCATCGGTATAAGAGTATAAGACATGTGGCAGTGGCAGTGAGTTAATGACATGATAAGGAGATAGTGATTTTACATTCTTTTCTACATTTTGATTAAAAACATCTGGTGACTCCTAAAAAGGAACATTTTAAATGTTGAAATCGAGGACACCCCTTAGTTTAAGTTGGTAGGCCCATGAACCTGTGTTGTGCTAATGTTCCCAAATGTACAAACTGTAGCAACTAAAACAATAAATATACCAGCGAACACTTGATATTGTTTTGATATTGTCTATGTTGATGTGATAGCTTTTAGCAATATGAGAATCAGATGTTCATATATAATCTACAGCAGCTTCATACTGTTATTTCTTTGCCACATCAGTGCTTTTATCGTATTGTATATCTGAAACTATCTGAGTAGTACAGTTTTCAAAACTGTGGTCTTTCAAAATTCTCGGTGCTTTTCTATTCCTTTGGTGACCAACACATCACACTGTGCAGGATTCTGAATGCTTTCTCGAGGGTGCCACCAAAGCCGAAGATTGCCTCTGTTCAAAGGTACTTGAATGTTGTATGGTATGGTGGGAGACTTGCTAATCAATTGGACATGGTGCAGTTTATTCCTTATTATGGATCTTTCCAGAACTTGTATTAGCAACAAAATGCTTATTAGTCTTTATTTTTGGACACTTCAATGTTAAATTCATCAAATAGCTAGTGAAAAACTAAAAATTACTTCAGGCGTATGCATACTGTTATGTTACTACAACAACAACAACAACAACAACAAAGCCTTTTAGTCCCAAGCTAGTTGGGGTAAGCTAGAGTTGAAACCCAACATGAGCCCCTAGTCACGGTTCAGGCACGTCAATAGCTGCTTTCGCATACTGTTATGTTACTGGACAACATTTTATTTTCTTGTATGCACAGCATCACATGAGAAACAATTTTGTACTCCAATTAGCATATTATGTGGAAACAAACAATATAATGATGCTGCATTAACATGGCCGATGACTACTTGTTCTTGTGAACTTATTTGACACTTCACCTTACTCTTAATGTTGAGCCATGACATCTTGTGTAAAGTTTTTTTTTGGTGGTTGGGGGTTGTAGAATTTTGTGGTTTTTACAGTCGTTAGTTAATCCTGTTTCAGTGAATTTGAAGAGCTGGAAGCAGCACCTGCGTTGGTTGAAGGTCCTCTGGAACCGCAAACGTCAAATATCATGTCAACTACTACTCACGTTCAAGAGGATCCTTTATCTGCATTTTTCAGTGTATGGAAATTGTTCTTCTTATTAATTTTACATTGTATTCTGGTCCCCTTAACTCCATTAACTATTGGCTGCTTTTCAGCCTAAGATTGTTATCTACTTTCTCCAGTATATAGCAGCTTTAGCTTTTATTTTGTGTTTATTAAATGTGCATCTCTGGGAACAGGCAGCTGCAAATGCTGGTGGCAACTCCGCTGTAGCTGTTGCAAGGCAACCAATTCAATCTTTTGGTACTACTCCAGTGGCTACACATGCAGCAACTGGTATTACTACAACACAATCACCAGGCTTGCATTATTTGCTTCCTTCACAAGACTCATCGGTTTCTGGGGTGCCTGCTGATGCTCATGGTGGCGCTGGTTCTATAGGAAGGTCCACAAGCCTTGTGAATCCTTCACTTTTCTCACCATTGACGTCTTCACAGACAACAATGATGCGCAGTAATCCTGCAGTACCAACTGCTCCACCTCAACATCCTCGTACCGCTCAGCAGCCGCAAAGTGCTCCCTTGCTTCAGCCTTTTCCGTTACCTACGGCTTCACCATCTCCACCATATGGGACTCCATTACTTCAACCGTTTCCGCCACCTAATCCGTCTCCATCTCTTGCGTCTGCACCAGTCTTGAGCCCAGCACTGTCTAGAGACAAAGTCAGAGATGCATTACTGAGACTTGTGGAGGTACACTGTTCAGTCTATTTTATTTTGTTGTATAATTTGAATGTATTCTTCTTATTCTGATTACGAGGATGCACAATTATTTTGATTGTTGGGTTTCAGCACCTTGTTCGCTTGATCGTATCAGCCATGCTTATCAGCCATGATACAATGTTTTTCTCTCACAACAAAACAGCATCAGCCGGCTTATAAGCCACAGAAACGATCAAGCGAACAGGGTCATATTGCTTGTTCAAGTCTACTTTTTAGTCTTTGGTATCTAGCTGTAGTATAGGCATATATGCGTGAGAAGCTAGCACTTGGAACTTAGTTCTGCTAGAATTGAGCTTAATTCAACATCAAACTAGAACAAACTTGTAAATATTTTTGTACTTCTCCTGATTTGTAGTACACTAACTTGATCTTAGCTGTATTCCATAATCTAAGACACAAAGTTTATTGTTTGTGCCAGAACGATGAATTCGTTGATTTAGTCTACCGCGAGATCGTGAACAGACAATAATGGATTTTCAAGGTACAGTCCTCTCCATCAGGCTAGTTTGTGTTTGGACATTATCTGTTGTCTAGCCTATTCTAAGTTACCCTGTAAATTCATTGATGAAATCCTTCGACTGGTGGAGTTTGTACTATTGATGTACTTTCTACATCTGTAGATGGTTACAAAATCTGTGCTGTATTCGTGGTGCAGAGAAGTTTTGTTCCGAGTATATCTCGAAACTTTTGCTGAACCAAACATTTTGGGACCTACCTACATCCTCAAGTGGACGGTTGGGCCATGTTTTAGCAAAACAGGTGTCCAAAGAGTAGAGTTGGAGTGCATGCAAAATGGCGAAGATTGTTCCCTCTGGCCTGCATAGGCTAGAACTGCAAGATGTAGTAGATTAACCAAATATACAGGGTAAAATAACAGGGAAAGCATATATCTGGGTTAGGGATACAAGAGGGATAACCTGGTGTTTGTGTTTCTTTCTTTTTATGGGCCGAGATCTCAATGCATAATCTGTGTTAGGGATATATCCCATGAACCTGTATAATCCATGTCATGTGGGCTGTGTCATTGTTAACTCACCAATTAAGCCAAGCCAGCTCTAGTGCTTTGTCCTCCTTTCCGTGCCTGTGCTGATAAAACTAGCCATTTGTCGTGAAACATGTGCCTCTTCTGTCAGCAATAAAGTCACATGTGCCTGGCGGAGGGCTGAAGTCAACATATATGATGTGTGAGGCGAGGTGCGGGCCGGCCGATGCCCTCATCCAGATATGATCCGGTGCACGGAAAGGCTTTCGACTAGCGGGCCCAAATTCGAGGGCATTGAAGCTTGGGGTTGGGGCTGCCACAATAAGAGAGTTGGTCGTCACTAGAAAAAAAGATTCTCAAAAAAAAAAAGGAAAAAAGTCGTCAGGTGTCTCAAAAAAAAATCGTCAGGTGGTGCGAAGCGGTGAAAAATGAGTGTTACTCCCTCCGTCCCTAAATAACTAACTGTCGTCGTTGGTGTGTATCTTTAAATAAATTTATTAAAAAATTAGATTTAAAAATCTTTCCAATGATACTAATTATGTACTATATATATTAATATTTTTTAATATATATTTAATCAAAGTTATTTCTCGGAAAGGAAAAACAATAGATATTTAGGGACAGAGAGAGTACGTCGTAGTTGTATATAAGATCCTTTGTGGTGGAGGCCCACAAGCTAGTCCTCGAATGTATCTCCAAGAGCCTATCTAAAATTTACTCTCTAAATGATGATTTAAAGAATTGTTTCAGTAAAAATCGCTCTCTATATATTTGTATGCTCCAACAAGTTTTTCTATAGTTCGCACTCTAGAGAGTCATTCTCACTCTCTATTTTTAGCTAGCGATAGTGATAAATCCGGAAGGCCGTTGGAGGATAGTTTTCACCAAAATATTTAATATATATTAGTTTATAAACTTGATTCGAGAAGTCTAATTTGAGAAGGAAAAAAACAGAAATAACCTACCATTTCAACAGAGCTACTAGTAGAAAGCTAAGATATATATAGTAATAGTCAATAATAAAGAAATATTTGTGGATTATATATGCTTATGATAGGTGGAAGTAGGGACACATGACATCGGTGACTATATGATAAGCATGATTACACTCCATTCTTATTGTGGCGACCATTTTGAATAAAATCTGCTTCTCAGCTTCTTTGTTTATATATATGCTTGATCATGGAGCACGCCATCACGCCGCAACTCATTAGGTCAACACATCTTTTGGATTCAACACAGCTGTATCTGGTTTACTCAATCTTCGGAAACAGATCAATAATGAGAGAACGATAGAATCATGTGGCACTTGTTTCTTCTTTATGAGATTTGGATGCAAAAGCAACTATCTCTGTCATAAAATGGTACAGATTTTGAGTTCTCCTAAGTCAAAACTTCTTTTCTAAGTTTGGTTAAATTAACACTTTTTTTAATTTATCTATTCGATATCATAAATAGTTAAGTATCCTAAGTGAAAAATAATAGTAAAACAGTAAAGGTAGCTCAGCTGGTTAACGTTCCCACCAAGGTTTAAGTTCTCAATTTGATGCGAGTTATTTATTGTAGGATTTGATGACACTCTTATCTACCAGGTTAGTATTCCAAAGGTACTCATAGGGATAGAATCTATAGGCAGGGTTCTGTCATCAGCGAGACGGTTACGATAACATTGTCAATCTCAAGATATGCTGCCAGGATAATGTTTATGCAATGCTTATAGAAATTGTATGTTCATAACGGTGAATTAATATGTGTGCATGCATGTATGCAAACATCTGCGCCAAGCTGTCGACAGTACATAATATTTGCAGTATCATGCACGCATTGTTACATGACTATGAAATATTATTTTAATTTAACTTTTTTTATTTATGTCTTAAATATAATACCTCTTCTCTATAAATTTGATCACTTAGAATAAGCTCGGATCCAATATATTTTACTACCATCTATCCTTATTTCATAAGACTATCTCCAACAACAACACCTAAAATACAAGACCCATTCAACGTTTTGGTAGCGCTACAGTCAAAAGGTTCAATAACCATTCGACATCCTCTCCAACAACAGGACCCAAAAGAGAATCATTTCTGCAAATGGGTTTTCAAGGGAGAGGATACTCATATTTGGGTTGTGCCTCTCAGATAACCCAAAATGGGTCTTCCGTATAGGTACTCCGTTGGAGGTTGATTTTGGGTCTCCTACTACCTATTTTGGGTTTGGGTGCCCATATGGGTCAACTATTGGAGACAGTCTAACAAAGACCGTACATGCTATGCTAATAAGAAAAAAAGTATTGCGGCAGAGGGGGAGGGGGGAATCAAAAGGCACTGTTGAAACTAGATATGGTACACCAACGACAATAATAATAAAGTGACAATATAATATACTAACCAAGGGCAGAAAATATAATGTTCATCACATCCCTCACTAGGAAGGCTATGCTTACATGTAAAATTACTTGTCCTTCCTAGCGCGTCTAATGGCACGTTGTGTAAAACATTCTCCTATTTAATATAAAGATGCACAAATCTTTTGCGTATTCAAGAAAAAATAATGTTCATCACACGGTGTCATAATTTTCCTCTATATGGGTGAGATCTGGAGGCAAAACCAGTATTTTGAAAGCTTTTGTAGGCACACAAGTATATAATAACTTTCATTGTCTTGGGCTCTTGGCCGTATATATATTATTTATTATATATATTTAACCTAGCCCTGCTAATGGATGCGATTCCAACCCATTTATACCCCATTTCAAATCTAATTAATTATTTTTCAACTCCTCCCCCACCCCATTTCAAATTAACTTAGACCCAACCCAACCTACTCTATCTTGGATTGCCAAGGTTCACTATTTACAAGGAATTCTAAGAGGTGTCCTGGATTGCCAAAGGTGCCTAGCAGAACTGGTATGGTGGCCTCGGCGGCACTCCTCAGGTCCTAAGTTTGACTCCTCGTGGGAGCGAATTTTAGGTTAGCGTTAAAAAATTCCCATCGTCTGTCCCACGGTCAAAGCACATGTCAAAGGCCCGGCCCGTTTCTCGCAGGGCAATAGTGCCCCTGTGTGTTAGGGTGAGGCAAGGGTTCGGGGGTTTTCTCGACCCGTGTGAGAAGGTCTTCTCTCTTACAGCAATACTCGGAATGGCTTACCCCAAAGGTCGAGTTTTTTTTATAAACCAACATTCACTTGAGTTATATTGCCTCCGATGTCGTCTGCTGACAACATATTTACACATGCAAGTTAAAGAGAAATTAAGAAACACCGACACCTGCCAAGAACAACAACATGCCTGGCGCTCGCCAAAGCCATCTTTCACGAAGATGACGCCGCGGCCACATCAGGCTGCACGGCAGCGACAACAGCGGCCCGCGCGCGGCACGTCGGGCAGGACGAGCGGCCTCATCAGGCGGCGCGGCAGCGGCATCAGCGGCTGGCGCGCGGCACGCCGGACAGGACGAGCGGCCTCATCAGGCTGCGCGGCGGCGGCAACAGCGGCCGGCGTGGCACGTCGGGCAGGACGAGCGGCGGCCATCCGCGAGCCAGCGCGGATGCAGTGCGCGTGGAAGCCATGGCCGCAGGGCCAGCATGACGTGCACGGCGTCCCCGTCCGCGAACTCGGCGAGGCAGATGGCACCGTTCTCAATTTTTTTTTACTATGAATAAGTTTTAAATTAAAGTTTATATATGATGATTCAGAAACATGAAGATCGTTTACATTTACATAGAATAGAACACCACTAGTTTACGATGGGAGATAATTCCTTACCAGAAAATTATGCTGAAACCCATAGGCAATTGGCGAAACTACAATTATTTGTGTAACATGAGCTTCACTATCATAATCCCTACAAGCAGTGAACCAATATATCACAGTTCGATCAGTGCGCGGTTCAGTTTGCGGCGATTGTGTGTTTGATCAGGTACTCCATCGCTACTGCAGCGTGGAAGGCAGCTCCTACTGGGAGCACGTCCTCATCAATCACAAAGTAAGGGGAGTGGAGGGGATGCATTGCCTCCATGCTCGTGTTGCGGACTCCAATAAAGAAGAACGCCCCCGCGAATTTCTGCGCATAGAAGGAAAAATCCTCAGCGCCCATTAACTGGGCGCCTACCCTCACGTTGTCCTGCCCAAGCATGGTCGCTGCCACTTGTCTGGCGTGATGGTACATCCCTTTATCGTTTACAGTGGCTGGATATGGACGGAGCTCCTCCTGCATGAAGTCGATGACGGCGGTGCAGCGGTGGACGGTGGCATGAGCTTCTATGATCTTTGAAAGAAGTATAAAGATATCATTTGTTTGCTGTTTTAAGCGCGGTAGATAAATGTAAATTTGGATTGATCTTCTTGAACCGCTACAGATTGATGTTCATTGTTTACCTCTTTGATCCTCTTCATAAGATACGAAAAGCCTTCTGTTGTCAAGCTCCTGAAGGTACCACCGAAGGATACTTTCTCCGGAATGACATTGTGAGCATCACCTCCTTTCATGAACGTGACTGAGACCACCTGACGGTGACAACAAAGAGGAGGTCATGCTATTATCAGAGCAAAGTCTGGATATGTAGTGAACAAATGAAAGACACAAGATAGGCTGCAAAGCTATAAAATGCCAACAGCCAAACACACGGTAAGCTGATGAGACCACATACTGCAGACTGGAGGGGATCAATTTCCCGGGCAACAAGCATCTGAAGGCTGACGATGGCAGAGGATGCAGCAACAATGGGATCCACAGCATTCTGCGGCCCTGCAGCATGTCCGCCTTTTCCAGTGATCGTCACCAAAAATCTACCTGATGCTGCTAGAAATGGCCCTGGTCTGGAGGAAACGGTGCCTA